AAGCTTAAGCATATCCATTAGGGCCTGGATATCACAATGACTACATTCTTCATCGCCAACATTGCCAATAGGTGGATTCCTGGCGGATTCGCTTGAAAGAGTTGAAATAGGAGAAAAAGCAGTGATGGGGTTTTTTTATGCTTTTGCCAATTTTGCCAATAATACCAGAGGAACTCAGGCATCGGGGCAAACAAAGCGTCTCTGGAATGCATGGGAAATTTAATGCTATTACAGCAATAATAGGCGTATTATCGCCGGCTTTCGTGTGTTTATACAAGAATGTGAAGGACAACATTTCCTCCCTCCCAAAATGCTATTTGCATCCGGTCCGGGCCAGACGGAAAGGACGTCTTTTATGCTCAGACCCTCCTTAGAAGTGGCACTTTTTCGTGCCCAAAGCCGTCCTGTTTGAAAGGGAAAAGCAAGCCGATGTCCGCATACCGGCCGGGGAGCCGAGATGAAACATAAGCAGCTGCGCTCTCGGGACTATGAACTAAGTCGGGCATACTTTGTACCCAGCCTCGGGTTGCCTTGGCTTCCGCCAGTCGGTGAACCGACCGCTCCGAGCGCCAGACCGGTCGTCCAGCTAAACCGGTATTATCCCGACCAATCAGAAGAATCGGCTTTAGTTGATGTGGTGATAAACAAAGCCTCGCCTGACAAAATTGAGGGGCATCTTCATTTATCAAGTCGGCCCGCCAACCAAATCTCGGCCCCACACCCTTTTTGACCGTGGGCTAAGGGATGGCATTTTACGCAAACAGGTTGATCTGGCCCACCCCCCTCAGCCCCAGTGTTCTGTATCCTCTTCGCTTTGGCCACTTTTCACCGACTCCTCCTCTTCTGCCAAAAGCCCAGTTGACCCCAGACTCCGCGTCAGAGGCGAATTGATGCCGAGCCTTTGATACCGACTGCCAACAGTAATGCAATTTTATCGCAAATATGCAAGCCAACATGGTTTGCCCTCCTGTCTTAGTCACAGTCTCCTTCGGCTGCAGCAAAGTGGCTTTACTGCATGTTTGTTATTTGGTCATGTTGTCAGGGCGACCCAGTATTAACGCACCTTGTCCGAACTTATTTGCTGGTGTAGGCATGTCCAGCGTGACTGTCGACTTGGTACATTTTCAAATTGGTACCAAGTCGACGGTCTTGTCCCTTGGGGCTGAGAATGGTAAGATTCACATGCGATTCCGATCGGAATGTCTGCGAAAAGTCTGAAAATTTGCCACATCAACGGTCCACCAGGGTGGAGGACTTCGGACAAGTTCTTGCTGACAATACGACCAAGTTGCAAAAACGAAGTAAAATCACTTCATTCGTGGGAGAGTTTTGAGATTATCAGTAATTATTTAATAAGAACTTAGTCGCTATAGTAGTCATTTAACCTTGTTTACACAACTTGGTCATATTGACAGGAAGACTTAGGGGAAAAACATCTTGTCCGGAGGCTTGATAATTTCCAGAGTTAGACCGTCGACTTGGTACATTCCAAGACGTTACTCTGGGTCTTCTGGCTAATAGGTCCAAGCTGCGAAAACTCGATCAAATGACTACAAAACATCGAAAGGAGGCTGCCACCAAAATGGAGGCCACAACATCTCGGTTTGCGTAACTTGGTCGCTTTAATTGAAGGTATGAATATGCAAAGACTCGACCTTGACTCGTTCGCTTGAATTTTGTTGTGACGATGATGCCTCGCTCTGATGATATTCGTCGCATGACGGACGAAAGCATAGCATCTTTTCATCGGAATCGAAGCAGATTGCCTCGGAAACAACGTCTACAAGAATGTTCCCGTCGGTAAAGAGGAATCTTCACCCCCAACACTTTTACTCGAAATGGAAGTCAGCTGAACAATTATGAAACAAGAGATTCCTCGAAACCCAACTTCTCTTCGCATGTCATCATCTGCAATTACTCCTCATACAGAATGCTGGAAGGAAAATCACGTTTTAACGGGGCCCAGTTTTTAATCCTATGTTTATGCCTTATATCAACCCATATTTTATTCCTGGATATATTCATATAAATATATATAGCCTCGTTTTTGGTAGCAATCAACTTTCACTTTATTATATTCAGATTTAGGCATTGATATCAGTTACGTAACTTGGACACGTCGCTTTGGTGAGACCGATGAATATAATTTGTCCAGTAAACTCTACGATAGTAGATGTAGCACTTGCCAGCTCATCATGATTGGATAAGAGTAGTATAATTATAATGGTTTCTTCGCTTAAACCAACGTCTCCAACTGCGAAACTATACTTCTTCTATTTATGATGATGCTAATTCACCAATCCCTTCCAAAGAACAGTTCCTTCGAAATTGAAAGTAAGGTGATAATGTACACATCTTTTCGAATATAAATAGAGTTTCGAGACTAACAGTAAATCAGTTATATGAGATGTATTTACAATATTTTTTTAAGGTGATGAACCACTGGTAGTAGAATTTTACCACAATGTCATGAGTAGAGCTGAACTTTCTATTGAATTTTAATTAGCCTCATCTTCCAAAAAGTTGTTCTCATCCAAGCGGGAGTGGACTGCA